AATGGGCACAAGTTGATGGAGAGGAGGTATAGATTGGACATCTGCAAAAACTACTTCACAGTTAGGGCGGCTAGGAGCTGGAACCAACTTCCAAGGGAAGTGGTGCTGGCCCCTACCCTGGGGGTCTTTAAGAAGAGGCTGGATGCCTACCTGGCTGGACTCATTTGAGTCCCGTTTCTTGTTTTGGGGTTTTTTGTTGTTCTCCTGCCCTGGCGGGGGGTCGGGCTAGAAGATCTACTAGGTCCCTTCCGACCCTTAATCTATGAATCTATGAATTTAAGATGTGATTTAGCAGGTTAATCGTGTCCTAAATGTAGAGTCTGCCAGGGCCTTTGTGGCTTTCCCACGGCTGTCTCCTTTTATGGTAAGTTTTAATAAGTCCCCTGTGGCATGTGTTAATTTTGAGGAAGTTTGGGTAAAAACTTGAGTATTGGGATGGGAAAAAATTTCACTTGTGTTTCTGGAACCTTTTTTTACTGTTAAATGAAGCATTCAGGTTAAAACAAAGATGGAGGCTTTGGACTGTCCAGGGACAGTATTTCAGACTTGAAAGAACTATGCTAGGAAGTTTCATAGAATTTGTAGACATTAGGGCTGGAAGGAGCCTCAGAAGAGCATCAAGCCCAGTTCCCTGCCCCAGGGGCAGGAAATCAGCTGGGGTCAAAGGATCCCAGCAAGATAAGCATCCAAATGTCTCTTAAAGGAGTTGCACCACCTCCGGCAGCAGCCTGTCCAGACCTTGGGGGCTCAGACAATAAAGAAGTTCTTCCTTATGTCCAGCCTGAAACAGTCTTGGAGGAGTTTGTGACTGTTTGACCTTGTTATCCCTTGGGGGGTGCCCTGGTGAACAGACATTCTCCCAGATCCTGATGTACCCCCCTTGTATACTTACAGGCTGCCACCAGGTGCCCCCCGAGCCTGCACTTTTCCAGGCTGAAGAGTCCCATGGCTCTCAGTCTGTCGTCATAGGGCCTGTTCTCTTGCCCTCTGATCATGCGTGTGGCTCTCCTCTGGACTCTCTCAAGCTTCTCCACATCCTTCCTGAATGGTGGAGCCCAGATGCAGTACTCCAGCTGCGGCCTCACGAAGGCCGAGTACAGCAGAGGATGACATTCCTGAGACTTGCTTGAGAAGCATCTATGGATGCATGCCAGAGTTTTGTTCACTTTACCAGCTGCAACATCACATTGGTGGCTCGTATTCATCTTGTGGTCAATCGTGACCCCCAAGTCCCTCTCAGTCATGGTGCTAGAAAGCATAGTACTGCCGAACCTATAAGCATGCTGCGGGCTTTTCATCCCAAGGTGGAGTACCTTGCATTTTTTCAGTGTTGAATGCCATCAGGTTTTCATCTGCCCATATTCTGAGCCTGTCAAGGTTGGCCTGGGTCATAATCCTGTCCTCGGATGTGGACGCTTTACCCCAAAGTTTGGTGTCATAGGCAAACTTGGTCAGTCTGCTTCTGATGCCTTAGTTACCAGTTAACATTTGACAGGGTCTGGCCATGGTTAGATGCTGCTGGTTTCACATAATGTATATCAGCATTGCTGACCCTGTTGGTCCAGTCTGGGACCTGAAAGAGATGGGAGGTTACATGATTTGTCCTGTGTTGCCCACTAGGCCAGTGACACAGTTGGGATTACCATGCATTCTCCCTGCCCCGCCTGCTAGACCAGAGCTATCCAGGTGGCAGCCTGCAAGGGGTGTCCAGGGGCTCCTCTGCTTCCCCCCCCCCCATCACTCTCCTGCTGCTGCTTCTGGGGTCTCCAGCCTCCTCTTTCCCTTCTCCAGCTTCCTGCTCCTGCCCTTAGGGGCTGGGTGGGGTAATTCAAGGGTGCTCGCACAGCACAGCAGAGGGGAGGGTGCAGTGTAGTGGGGAGGCCAACTTAACGTGGGGCCTCTGGTCTCCAGCTACTCGATGGATTTTCATAATTCATGTTGTCTGTCCTGTTATGCTCCTTATAAGTCAGTAACATGGTTAGATTCCATTCACACACAGGCCTTTTTTTCCACAGAGCATGTCCAAGTATCTTTGTCTGTACCACATTATATGCATATTTTGTCCATTTTTGAGACATCAGGAGCATCTGTTCTGTGTTTCCACAGTAGATAGTAGATTGTGGTGCTATCATAAGGAAAGACCCTAGCTTTTAACAAGCAACTGAAACTATTACATCAAGGAACGAAGTGAAAAGTACGATGTAAGGCCTATTCAGTACTGAGTCCTATTCCACGTAAACAGTGTTAATCTATCTGAAAGCAGTGTTGGGTACAGCCAGACTGTAGGGAGCATGCCTGAAGAACCTAAGTTAATCTGTTAGTGGAATCAATTCTTGGCTCAAGAAAAAAGCCTTATGGCGAGCTCAGAGAGGATTCTCAAAGCTGGAGAGGGATTAATACAGTTGATACTAGGAAGTTAAAGATTTCAAAACAAGAAGTACTATTTCAAAGGTAAGAGGAAATGAAGAATTCAAGCAGAAAAGCTGTTTCATGCAGAGGATAAACCTGGAATTAACTCCAGAGTGAAACAGGAACAAAGAAGCTATACTTGAGATTCCCTTCCTTTGCCTCCCCAGATGTCACTAGCAGTGTTCAATTATAGCACGCTGGAATTTGGCTTAGCACGCATAAATTCAGTAAAGTGTGTTGGAAGGTGAGAGCTAAAAGGCAGGAAGAAATGATTAAGTGAAAGCTTCCCCTTGGGCCCAGTCTGTATGTAAAATGGAGAGCGTGCAAAGGTAAGCAGGGGTGTTTTTTGGGGGGTTTTTTAGTGCTTTGTTGCACCTGCTTGGAAATGTTCAAGAGGTTCCCAGTGGCTCTAATTTTCAGATTTGCTAATCCAGATTCAGTTCCAGAGCTAGTCAGTCTTTCTGTGGTTGAGCTTGTTAAGTGATATGGTTGCTTCTTCCAGTGTTGAGTTTGGGCCACAGACTTGGTGCACTGCCTGCACATCCTGTGAACACCACAAGTCTTTCAGCACGTTGAATAGATTTTTGTCCATCAAGGGACATTCTAGCTAGTCTTTTCCTGGCTATGTAAGGCTGAAGATGAAGTACACTTTGTAAGTTAACTTGAAGGAAAGCTTGTGTGTGTGCACATTGTCTTAAGAACATGGTGCAGTTTTGACATAAAACTCGTAATTCAGACTGCAGATGAGCTGCATACCAACCCTTGGGCACAAGAGGGCGCTTCAAGGCTGAGTCTTTTTTAGTGGGATCGTTGGGCCTCTGAATATAGCACATCAGCATTTAACACAGAACTTCTTACACATTGTATTGTCACGATTGTAGTTTCGGTTTTGTATGTGTTAGTCATACTACTAGTCAGGCACTGGAAAAGCCTACCTAAAGAAGCTGAAAATTACTAGGGATGGAGATGCTG